TCCTCCCAGGCTACCTTTGCATCATCAGCCCGTGGAGGTCTGCTCGCAGTTCCGTATATTCGGACACTGCGAACTTGGACCTCCCGGACCAAAACATCAGTTTCCTCCTAGGAGAAGGTTGGCCGTCTGATGCTGCTGCTCTCTTCTGCCATAGCGAATTGAGTAAACTCTCATTACGCCTTCGCGCGGCGCATTTAAGGGCGAGGAGAGAGGCTCATGTGATTGATGTGATGTGAATCAGCTGTGTAAAACCCACTCCACGCCTTCTCTCCTCCCTTTTTCTGACTTGCGCAGGTAGGAGGGACAGAGGTGGGAAAGAGGAGTAGCTGCGCCAGCGCGCACGGTGTGCCAAACTTGCAAAATCCGCCTGGCCACACCCAGTTGGCGAAGCGCAGGTGCGCCCGGTCTGCGAAACTAGAGGCCCTTAAATCTACATTTGGGCAAGGTCTTCTTCTGCCGTTGCCACTGTTGCATGCCTCTGCTGAAGAGGTCAGTTCGCGACACAAAGATGGAAAAGTGATCCAATTCAAGATTTCCTCAGAACTGGAATTAAAAACAGAAGACAAAAACTGAACATTAAAATAGACACCAACCATTTGAAAAAAAAACTAAAATTAGACATGATATACTGTCTGTATAATTTCATAGCTGTTTGCTACAATTATTCGGGGTGTTTTTTAGGGTGTGGCATGGTATAGCAATTGCCATACCTCCTATACTGGTGAAATTCTAAGGGGTGAGGGGAGACCTCAGTGCAAGTCAAGATAAGAGCAAAATATGTCACAAACATACCATGTTTTTGGATTATCACATTTCTCTGTGATCACACTCCAATACATGACAAAGCTTTTCAACAAGAAAAAGATGATTGATACTGCAGTATCTCTTTAAAGTGTATATTATCCAGATAACATAATTTGCCACCATAATTATCTAATGTACAATATTACCTTTGAAAGGTATTGATTTGACTGACTGATAGTGATCCACTTGATTCATGGCCATCATCATCTGAAGGTCTGCACACATAAAGAAAACAGCTTGTCCTAAATTATCTTGAAATAAACACTTGCATATATAAAATTTTGCAAGGCAATCTCCTTATATGTAATTTGTCAAATGAACATAGGTATACATTTAAAAAGTTACACTGAAATCATTAATATTACCGTAATCCACATGTGGCTGCATGGATCTCAATGATGTCAACTTGAAATGCATTTTTGCACACAGGACACTCTGCTGTCTAAAAATAGAATTCACAAGGCATGTGAATAAAGTCTGACATTGTTCCAGAGATTAATATCTTAATTTACCAGGAAGGCGCAAACAATTTCACCTTGTCCGTCTGGTTGCAAATGGAATCTGGGAATTCATCTTCATATTCTTCGTTGCAGGTTTCCTGGGGGAGAAACACAATAATAATACTTCAGTGTTTAGAACACAATACAGAATAACATCTCATTTTTCAATATAAACAGCTGTGGAATAAAGCCTAAAAGACTAAGCTTTGACATACTTCTTCAGCAGAATAGCACAAATCTGCAAGTTCTGTCTTGCATTCCTAGAAGTGTACTGGAAGAATCTGGGGCCGGTTGCACCAACTGGTCTTTACTACGCCTGGTTGTAACTCCTTAAAAGGATCTTTGTTAAGACCAGTCTTAAGGAGTGGACTTACGCCAGTTGCACCAACAGGGCTTACGCCTGGTCTTAGCTACGCCGGTTTTAGCTGTGAACGTCCATGTGAATGCCCCGGAATGCCGCACGCAGCCTGCCTAGAGGAGTGCTGTGATGTCAAATGACGCGCTGCTGATTCACCCCGCGTGCTTGACAGTTGACAGCCCCTCTCATCTGTGTTGACAGTTTATTTACAGTTTAAGATTTGAAGAAAACATGGAGGATAAGCAAAAAAGAAAGGGTAACTTTACCGACATTGAAATTAGAAAATTAATCGAGCTGTACGGCCAGCACAGAGACGTGTTGACTGCCAAGCAGTCAAACGTCACCACAAATAAGAAAAAACAATCGGTATGGGCAGAGATAATGGGGAAGTGGAAAGATCTCCTCAGCAAGGCAAAAAAAGAAGACTCCTCTAAAAAACAAAAAAAAAAATCACCCAACTGGCGGGCGTCCTCCCCTGAAAACCTCAATTTACAGTGACATCACTGTTGATGTATTTGGGGAGGATTCCCCTGCCCCGCAATCAGCAACTGTAAGGTTGGTGGTAGTGCTGCGTTGCGGCCTGACACAAACTGTAGATCCGGTGACAGCTCTTCAGTGAGTTCAAACAGATCTCTCCTACCGAATCGAATCCTCTCAATCAGCTCCTCGTCATAATATATACGTCCAATGGATTGCTTCTGTCCCTAATTACTCTCTCCCATCTGAATGCCCGCTCGTTGTACAGACGGTGGATGAGACGTGCCATTATCAAGCTGCGCTCTCTGCGCTCTAGAGCGCATGGCCACAGCTTGATAATGACCTTACACCTGCTCTTAACTAGGCGTAAGATTTATGCTCGGTCTTAGTGAGAAGAAGGCTTAAGACTAGATGGTGCAACTGACGTAACTGTTAGGTCGGACTTATAACACCAAGTTAAGACCGACTTAGCTTAAGACTAGGCGTAAGCCCTGTTGGTGCAACCGGCCCCTGAAGTGAAACCATTTTCTTGCGGGTTGTACACTGGGCTTTGGGCATGTTCTCAAACTCCTTTGCTTCGGGTGGTAATGGAATTGTATCAAGTTCTTCTTGTAAAGGAGAAATGTACAATGTGTATTTTCCATTCCTGCTCACTGCTTTTAGCTGCTGGCCAGTGTATCCACGTAGATCTGGAGGGATAACAACCAATCTCCGCCGCCCACCCCCACCTAAAATTGAAAAATTATAGAAACTAAACAAACCTGAATATATAGTAATTCCTCACGTAGAGACTATTTTGAAACAACATAATCCAGTGTATACGCCTACATACCTATGGACTTGTGCAGCATCCAGCCACCACAGATATTTGCCAGTCTTGGATATGTACTCACAAGCAAATCTGAAAATTTAAGAGACAAAAGCACAGTTAAAGCCTTATTGCAATGACTTATATTTATGAACTACTGTGTATTTCATCACGCAAATATTAATTAAATCATGCATGAAAATTAATTCTAAGATGGGTGTTTTTCTCTTTAGACATGACTTGACACAAGGCAGTAAATGAATGGTAGCATATCTCTGAATGTGTCATGTTTTCAGATATGGTTAGTGAACGTTTTCTAAGGCCAGCCAGCATGAGTGGCAGTTCCTCTTCTCCTTTTGGTGTTTTTTTCATATTGTTTTTCAAAAAGAAAAAAGCTCACCAAAAAACTCCTCCCAGATTCTTTTGTCCTATATGTTGCAAAACGCCTTTTACCTCCTTTTGAAAAAATCCTGGAAAAGACCTAAAAAGATGGCATATTATTATTCTCATCTTTTATATTTCATCAACAACAAACAACCTAACTCAGAAGACGTCTACATTCTCAATGATTATGTTAGCTTATGTTTTATGCAATAGTTTACATGGTGATGGTCTGAAGCTCCAGAAAATATTCTAAGGGAAATAGTAGAATTTAAAACATCTGCAGCTGTCTCCCTGCCTACTGCTTAAATCAGAATCAGAGACCTATTTGTCCAAATGTGCCTGGACTGGGAGTGCAATTACTGCAGACAAATGACCCATGAATCCTACCATGCCATTTCTTGTTTCACTAACAGTCCGGGGTCATTGTGCTGAGATCTCATAAGTTGTTGCACTGCCTGCTGAGGCCTCACTGTCGGAACTGACTGCGATCCCTGTCCGACGGCAGCTTCTCCTGCATTTCCTTGTCTGACTGGCCTGACATTCGCTGGTACACGGTTATTTAACATCAACACCAGATTTTGGGCTGTGCTTATGATGTCTTTTAATTGGACTTGAGTGAGGAAAAAGACAAAATTGAATAGCAAATGTTACAGATATGGGTATTTTTCACTATTGTACAAAATGCCTGCAAACTAACAAAATATGAGCTTGAGTCAGCATCCAAACCAAACAAAAAGCCAGTCTGGACCCATGCAGACCACACTTGTGCAACTTGAGCAACTGACTGCAGGTAAATAATAATAATTTACTAAAATTTATTAAAATACTTTTAAATTAAACTATTCACACCCTGGTATTATATATACTGCATAATTAGCGCCCCGTAACCCGTAATCTCTTGTTTATGACAGATAAGACAACACAAATACACACATCGTAACATCGTATATGATAAATAATGTTATCCACCACTGCAAGGATTGCTTTCTCGCCGGCTTCGTTGAAAACAAATGTACATGGCCGGGAGGAGGGTTAGCAAAACAGAGGAAAAGACTTATACGATGGACAGATTTAGACGCTAAATGACGTAATTTATTAATCGATTAAAGTCATATTTTGATCAACATTATGTCTCAAATTAATTATTTCATATTTTGCAGGTCAGTGCTAATTAATTAGCACAAGCCAACTTCTAATGCCAGCAATGCTAACACTAACTTCGCGTCACCGGCATGTCGTTAGCTTGCAAGTTAAAGCAGTAACTGTATATTATCTAAAATAGTACAATTTTATGAAATAAAAAAAACTTGATATACACGTTAGTGACTTTACCTGTGATGTTTCACCTGAGCTGGCAGCTCCACCCAGTCCGCTGTCTTCAGCCATCTTTGCCTTTGGGGCATGCGCGTTTGGAGGAATCGCAGTTCGATTACTTTCCCCTGTGACCTGCCTGTGACCTCAGTGACGTAATTTCAACACTTTTCTGCTCGTACCCACAAACTTGAATTCGTGTTCACAGTGAGGACTTCGTAGTCGTAGAAATTAGAGTTGTATTCACAAGACTTTGCACTCACAGCTTTTAGATTCATACTCACATAAAAAGAATCCTAACCCAAACAATTTCACAGACTCACGTATATGACAGCAGAATTTTGTATACAACAATTTTATTACGAATACAAATGGTTAAAATTATGCACACATCTTTTTGATAGTTGTGTTACACCATAGACGAGGAGGCTCTGCACTGCTCCGTGCTAACCGTTAATTCAAGGGCTCTGACGCGTTCAGGGTCCGCTACGAAAAATGGACAGGTGAGGTGTTTAGTACCTGGGCCAACAGGCTATTGTTAGAGCCGAATGTAATCACTAAGGTGTGCATACCTGGTCTTTTAAGTGCCTACAGCGAACATCAAAGATAAGCAGCAATCACCCTGACCACGATGGACCCCTAAAAACACAAGGAGGTGAGCTGTTTAATACAGAAGCGAGCTATAAACAAACAAACTGCAGACAATGCAGCCGTGTACCTACCCGCATGGAGAGCAGAGGAGGAAGTGAAAGGCCAGGAAGCGGGAGTGAGGGAGGGACGCAGCCTCCTTTTATACCTTCGCCCCATACACTAATAGGCTAATGAGCCAGGTAAAGTGCAATGCAGCAGGCTCGCCTGCATTCAGCCACAGCAGCATATCATACTGCTACAGTGGCAAAACATGGAAAATTGACAACTCACCACAACCACACTACTCGAAGAGCAATCAAACATTTAACAATTCAGAAGGTCTTAAGATTTCACAGACCAAATTTCAAGTCAATCAGATCAAATCTGTAGAGTTCATGGTAGTGCAGCACCTGGAAATGGAAAAATTTGCCCTTAAATTGCTCAAGGTATTCTCATAGAACGGTTTATATGATATCCTACAAAAAAATGCATGTACAACAGTTTGTATGATATCCTACAAATTTGCACCCCAAGAATGACATTACGTCCTTAACCTACGTTACATAATTAACGTGAAGTTACAGAGGTTAAGTTGGGCAATGAAAATTACTGTCGTTAGGTTTAGGAAAAGAAACATGGTAAGGACTAACCTTAAAATGACTCAAAGTTCACTCAAAGTTCACACAGATCTGAACATGTGACTCCATGAGAAAGTCCTGGGTGAAAGTCTGTTTTTTGTGACCCATCCACCAATCAAGCCAATCTGCCAAAGCCAAGTATGAGACCCATATCAGTATGTGATGAAAGCCCGCACAGGCCCTAACAGCAATACTGTTCCTTGCCACCGGCTGCAATTGATACTTGGGCTTTAGCTAACAGAACACAGACAGACCCACAGGTAAGCACTATGCTAATATCAGGACTCTCTAACTTCTGGTGAAAGATTTTTGCTGCCTGTTTCCTTCTCACGACATCAAAAAAGTGGAACAAAGACATGTCGAATAAATCTGCACATGGTGGAAAGGGAGCTGCTCGCCCATTAGCAGGTGCTACTGCTAGCTGTGATCAAGCTAGCAATGAACCTCCAGACATGTCTTCATCCAAAGAGCAAGATGAGCTTCCACTTATCTGGCAGAAACTGTCGAACAAGCTCTTGCAATCTTTTATCGACCGGTTCGACAAGTTTGAGAAGAGTTTCCAGAATCCTCTGTCTGCCCAGCAGGTGCACAACAAGAGGCTGTCCACCGCTGAAAATCAGGCTGCGGACCACAAGCAGCGAATCAACGCAGTGGAAACTTCTGTTACAGAGCTGCAGCAGGAAAATAAAAGATTGTGGGCCAAGCTGTCAGGCCTTGAGGCGAGGTCCAGGCGAAACAACATAAAGATTATCCCAGAAGGTGAGGAGAAAGGGAGGCCAACAGAATTTGTCTCCAATCTGATTCCTAAACTGCTGGGGAATGACAACTTCGCCAAACCCGTCGTAATCGACAGAGTGCACCGCACACAACAGCCCAAACCCCCGGATGGCTCCAGACCCCAGGGCTAATAGCACAGGTGTATCTTGCACAGGAAAAAGAAAAGATTCTACGGCTCGGCAGGCAGCACCCATTGGATTACGGAGGTCACCACATCTTAATCTTTCTCGACTAAATTGCAAAGGTGATGGAGCAACGGTGGAGTTTCTGTGAGATGCTACAGTGGCTGCGGGAGATGGAGATTCGGCACTCACTGCGCCTCCCGGCCAGGCTCCAAGTGCATCACCAAGGGCAAGTAAAAATATTCAGTGACCCGGCTGAAGCGAAAAAATTTGCTGACCAAGAACTTTGACAGACATGAATACAGAGAGAGCCTTCAGTCACCAGAGGGGGGGGGCTGGTTGGCTCTACAAAGACATACAAAAAGTTAAAACAGGTCCAGGCAAGTGGGTCACCATAAAATCAAAAGAGGTTAAAAGAGACTCTGTTACCTCAGCGCTTTGGGTGAGAACTTGTGGTCCCGACCTTTGTGGCGATCCAGGGGCTGGTCATTAGATTCCTCCTGTTCAGCATGTCAATTCAGGTTCAGGCAGCTTGGTCCTTCCATAGCCTGCTGATCATAATGTGGAAATCCAAGGTGAGAGGGGGGATGGAGAGCACACATGCAGCAGCTTACTTTCTGTTGGCCGTTTAGCCTGAGCTCATTTTTTGGAGGGTTTTTCCAGGTGAGGAGAGGGTTTTCCAGATGAGAAGAGGGTTCTTTTTGTCCTTCACAGCAGTGTCTTGTCCTTTGCCCAGCTCTGTTCTCTGTGAGCTCTGAAACACAGCTTATACACACACACACACTCAGTCCACACTAATTAGTCAATGCCCTTCAGGTGTCACCTCACAGGGTGCATTCAAGTGCACTGCAAACTATAGGGAAATCCAAAGTTAAGGCTGGTTCAGGCTGTTCAGACAGGCTGTGGGCATTCCACACTGTTTTAAGTCCAATTTCTTGACATATGTGTGCCAATGAAGGGCTGCGAGCTGGAGGTGTTTTTTTTTTGTTTTGTTTTTTTTTTTCTCTCTTCTCTCTGCTCTTTTGGTCGGTAGTCCCCAATGTGGATGAGGGTAACTCGGCTTTGTTTGGGGAAGCATCAGGTGTTGGTTCTGGTCACATATTTGTTAATGGTTTAATTTGGTTTGTTGTTTTTTTTGTGGCTGGCTGCCAGTTTGAATTTTAAGTGCGTGTCTCTAATGCAACTATGTTTTTTGTCGCTCACACCGCAACCTCGGGACTCAGTCAAGGTAACATAAATGAATAATATGCTCGATTTCAGAGATGGGTAGTAACGAGTTACATTTAGTCTGTTACATTTACTTGAGTAAGTTTTTGAAAAAATTTTACTTCTAGGAGTAGTTTAAATCACTATACTTTTTACTTTTACTTGAGTAGATTTGTGAAGAAGAAACTACTCTTACTCCGCTACATTAGGCTACACTGAGCTTGTTACTTTTCTTTTTAACCTCTTTGGTATTCTACGCATCATTATTTTTTATCCCCCCCGCATACGCATGAATTTAGTGTTTTATTTTGTCAGAGAGAGAGACTTCCGCCAAAGGCTTTACCACATGACTGTGTTTCACCAATCAAATGTAGCCGTAGCCGTGCAGTCTCGTCACGTGACCATACCGAAGATACTCAATCTCAGCGGTGGGACGGGTTAGCTTTAGCGGTTACAGCTTCGTAGGAAAAAACAAAAAAGAGGAACGGATGAAAAATGGCAGAATCAGCGGTCGGCAATGCAGACATAGACGAGGAGGAACACCCCTGGCCTCATATTGAAAGCATGTTTAGCTTACAAACAGTGCGAAACAGCAGCTACATTATGCGGTGTCTTCTGTGTCTACCAAAAAACATACGGACATTTCAGCATTCAAAAACTCAACGTCTAACTTGAGGACACACGTAGCGATAAGTTTGACCTAAATTTGTTTTTTTTGCTGTGGATAGGTGAATGTTTGTCT